CAGCCACAGACCTTTTCAGAGGAAGCTGCTCAGGAAAAGGAAGCCACTCTGCCATGGAAGCCATATAGCTGCTTTCATCACTACTACTGAACTCCTTAATAACTCTGTCACGGAGCATCATTGTAATGGAAGAGTCAGTATTGGACTCAACTGGGAGAACCACATTTACGAGAAGGTCAGCTGAGATTTCGCCCTCCACTCTCACCGGGAGAGGGGATCTGACAAGATAGACAAGTGAGGTGTCCTTCCTCGGGAAATTCTCGACTGTGCATGTTGGCGATAAAGACTTGCAACTTACCACATTGCACCATGTGCAAGGAAGGTTCAAGGAAGAGGCCCTTGACTCTGCATGTGTCATTGTTGACTAGCACGTGATCTCCTATGAAAGTTCTGTTCACGTACACCATAACAGGAGTGAGCGACTTAGCTGACAAAATGAAGTCATACTTTGTACAAGTGGTAACTTTGGCCGCTGATGCCATAACTCGAGTCAAACAGTCGCCTGCCAACTGGGAGACTGTGATTTGACAACCACTGTCCTCTACAACAGTGCTAGAGTTAGAGTTAAGGTTAGACCAGCCGACCATAACTGGGTTTCACTGGTAACTGAGCGCTGATGGCCAGGTGACGAGAAACGAGCTCTCTTACGAGGTTGGTCAGGACAAGAAGCCGACCTCGGGGAGAATGTGCTACTGTACATACTCTGAGACAGGGTAGCACTTAGTGGATGCTAAGAATATGCCCCAGAAGGGCACATCCACTCCATTGAAATCTGCTTTCCACTTATCTGGATCTAAGTGGATCTTAAGGTCTGCCATGGTCTTGAAACCAGTAAGCAGATTGCCATGGAAAACAATGTCATCAACAACTAGGAACTTTGTCGACATCTTGTGACCCTGGATCGCAAATTCTAATCTTGTACATCCACAAACCATCAGAGGACCACCTGAGACTCTTCTCAAGGTCTAAATGACAGACAGCTCTGTCAACATGGCCGTGTGAAAGCCAATGTCATGGAAGAGTGCAGAACAAACGATGTTAACCACCAAACCTGTATCGAGGAAAAGCTGAACAGGCTTACGGTGAGCAGTGGACTCAACAAACAGTCCACACGGGCTGTCATACCGAACGTGAAGGCATCACAGGCCAACTACATTCCTGGATCCTGTAAGGTATGGTACAAGTCATGGTAGCAATGTCAAGGTGCTCTGTTTCCATGCTGTTGGCAAGCATATCGCTGCCAATGACAGCGAATGCATTGTGGACAGGGACGGAATACCACGACTCCAACAGGGTTACTGCTTCTTTAACTGGTTTTTTGGACGCCACTCTTTCCCCGAACTGTTGGAAGGGCTCCTACTAGCACATGCTTTGTGCCTAGAATGCTTGTCCTGCTACACAGACAGTATACTTCGCAGCTAGTAGCACTCATTAGAGATATGTCCTGATACTGGGCACGGGGACAGTCATGGTCACCAATGTGGGGGCTTAGGTGTGTAACATTCGGAATGGTAGTGCCCATGTTTGCTGCAATTAAAACAAGTCACCACTTGCTTTGCAGGCGATGGTGTGCAGTGATGACATTTACACTTGGTCAGAGGAGATGCTGGCGACTTTGTTGTGCTAACCCGACTGTTGCTATGTGACCGACCGTTTGCACTCATCTTGTCGTTAGTCTTCCTGGGCTTGGCAACATTAGATGACGACTGCCTAACAGCCGTGGCAAAAGAAATCACTTGCTGTGACTAGGGAAATGCTGTGGTTGATGCCAGAGGAACTGGCATGGGAGTGTCAACAAAGTGACAAACCTTGCCGTTCTTGGCAGGCGGCTTGACGGTGTTGATTGCCTCGTACACACCCAGGACTGTGTCCTGGGGACCGAGCCCTAATGCATCGATGGCGTCCTGGAGAATAGGTGGGGCATCTCTCAGCATGACACCTACAGCGAGCATGAGGATGATGTCTTTAATACTATCATCGTTAATAATCCACTTAGTAGAACATATAGCATCACTGAAATCTTTTGAGGCTTGCTCAAAACGGCAAATTCAAGCCAGGGGGCTTTTGTGCGTGTACTGACACTCATTCAAGACGCTGGTAACAATCTCAAGGTAGTGGCATTGATGCCTACGCCTGAAATAGCGTCGAAATTCCTCCGTAAGCGTGTCCCAAGATTGTACATCGCAAACTCAGTCCATTTGCACAAAAGAACAATATCACTCTGGGTGACATCCACTGTGGCAACAGCAGCACGAATGTACTGTGAATCAGTGGGGTTATCGTATTTAGCCTCAACTGCCATCTCGTCTGTTTGCAACCATGGCTCTAACCTATTTGAACGACTGTCGAAAAGAAGGATCGGGTATGAATGATTAGCATACCCACTAATGGTTGAGACATGAGCCACGACCTGACCAACTGTCAAGACAGCTTCGCTCTCCTCCCACTTGGTCACGAAGCCTGAAGCACCATTGCAAGTGTCGGCAGAAACTGGGATAGCAGGACGGCCACTTCGTGTCTTAGCCATCACTTCAAATGTAGGAATGTAATTGTGTCACAAAGAAGGTAAATTAAACAAGAGTAGAAATGGTACGCACTGGGCTAAAACTTTACATGGAGTCAGAGAGAACACAACACGACGTTACTAGGTAAATGACTTATTTAGTGAAATAGTTTGAGCAACAATAACGTGAGGGAAAAGTTCAACAGATAGGAGTAGCGAGCGAATATGTGGTGACGATAGTTTGATTGCTGGCTGCTTGTTAAGGTAGGGTCAGTCTAGCTCCCGCTATCCCCCCCCGTCCTCTTTATCCACCCCGAAAGGTGACGTGTGGGGCTGCGACCAAACAGTAATTACTCGACTCACAGCTCCCAGCACAACTGTATTCTAGTTGATATATTGGCTGAAAGCTTCACTTTTGACCAATAATAAACTTAGTCCTTACTGCCTTGATTTCCATGTCGTACTTTAAAATCGCCAATTTTTGTAAGTACCTTGCACTTATCATGGAGAGTGATTTCTTAAGCAGTGGGTAACCTTTGTCTCTTTTTCTAGCTTGGAATGTCAGCTCGGGTCATCTGACAACCAAAGAAAAGTGTTAATGGAGACGGACTCAGCAAAAGTCAGGAGACGTAACTTTGTAATCTACCTACCTGATTACTTAGTCAACCCGCAGGACACTACCCCTCCACTTTGCAGTGGTAAAGAACCTGCGTTCCTATCATCTGGATAGACTAGTCAAGGCTATAGACTCTGTGAAGAACTAGTCGTTGGGTTGTCACTCAACAATTTGATAGTACACTCTGAAACGCAAAATATGTATGCAAGTGAATGAACTACAGGGAAGTTCACAAATTGATGGTGAGGTAATTTAGCAATTGCACAAGGAAACTAGCAACAAAATTTATAAAAGGAATTGAACTGGAGAAAACTGGCAGCAAAAATAGCAATGCTGCACACAAAAAATAGGTATTACTCAAAACTGAACTGTGGTACAGGCTTGCTCAACACTCAGCAAAAGGTTACAGGTGCTGGCAGATGCAATTTGGAATGCAAAAACAATAATTTACTTGCATCAAGGGAAGATGACAAAACAATGATATTAACAGAGTATGCAATAGTACAAAAATAACAAAAAATCACTGCATCAAGAAATACTAAATCTCAAACAAAATAAAGCTAATGGTAAAGACTGAAATATAAAAGGACAACAGATAACTGGTGTTAGCAGGGTGTACACTGGTGTTAGCAGGGTGTACACTGGTGTTAGCAGGGTGTACACTGGTGTTAGCAGGGTGTACACAGGCCAAAAAAAAAAATACACAAAACTCTGGATCATAAGTATGGAACTTCACATGTAATTATTGAAATAAATGGCAATTAAGCATGTTCCTGAAAATGCACTCAATGAGATAAGCTTTACAAATAGCAAAATGCAATACACCTAGGTGAATAGGTACAGATAAAAACATGGAATATGCGTGGAGCAAATAAATGGAGTCACAGGAGAAAAATTCAAGTGACTAGGCACAGATTTTATCACTGCAGGTTGAATAAACAAACTGACACTTAAGAACTTGGGAATTACACTTTAAAACACACTAACAAATCAGAACTATGCAGGGTTGTCAACAGTTTGTTGATAGTTGCAGCTGAGAATCAATCCCAGACCCCTCACCGTGTGAAGCGAGAACTTTAGCCACCAGGCCACGGGGCACCTCAAAGTCCTCGTGCTTATACACCAATGGGAGTGAACACCTAATACTAAGGTTGAGGGATTGATTTCCTTTTCCACTTCTCCAGAATATATTCTCAGTGATGGATTGAAAAAGTTGATGGTTAGTCATAAGCCTCACAGATAAAAAATCTCAGGATGGCACACGTGTCTTATCCATCAGATATAACAATATTTAATATAAACTTAATTTGAGTAATGTGATTATAATCAGTGAAATATTTCCTAGCCAGATTTTTTTAGTACTGTTATTGAGATAGATCAATTCCTTAGCATGTTAATAATGATTAAATTGTACCAATTTGAGAAAATTGCTAACTTGGTAATTTTCTGAATTATGAAATATGTTTAGTGATTAAGGCAGGAATTATTCACTGACTGAAGAAATTTCCATAACAAATTAGTGGTGTGGTAAAGACCCAGGTAATGGATTGTTAAAGAAATTATCGGAGACAAAGTTTGACATTTATTACAATTTGTTGTCCCTGATGTGTGTTTCATGTCATGAAGTTTTTCTGAAATTCTTTAAATTATCTTTAGCAAGAAGTCCGATATTCTCAAAATATTCTTTAATGTCTTGACCCTTCACGTGGATGATATGATGCCAGTGATGCACTCTAAATCCTAGGAATAGGAGTTTCTTTCCTTGGATCAAACCTGATTAACTCCAGTTTCCAAGGCATTGTGTGGCCCTTTTAAGTTAAGAGTTTTCACCGAATTTAATAACAATATTTAATAACAAGTTTTGATTTATTTTTGTTTCAGTGATCAGTCTATATGGTACTTCACGTGTTGTTCCAGTTGTCACAACAAGTCTACACCTCAAGAAAATACTGCTCACAATAATGTTTTAACACAAGAAAGTTAGGTTAAATCTGTAATAAACCTGCAATAAATCTGTAATAAAGCATATAACAGAGTTAAAGTCTTATAGGTAAATAAATAGACTAGATAAGCAGCAGTCATTTAAATACTGGATAATAATAAAGAAAAGCTACGAAGAAAATGTTTCATTTCGTTCACAACTTATATATATATATATATATATATATATATAATATATATATATATATATATATATATATATATATATATATATATATAATATAAATATAAATATATATATACATATATATATATTATATATAATATATATATATATATATATATATATATATATATATATTAAATATATATATATATATATTATATAATGTCGTGCCGAATAAGTAAAACTTGTGATTTTGGCTTAAATAGCAACGCTCTTCTTGCCGAAAAAGGCAAGCAAAAATTTGTGTATGCAATAATTTCGCAATAATCTTTCTGAACCTATCGAAAAAAATATATTTCATGAAAGTAATTAACAGCAAAGGCAGACCTGGTGTGCACAGATCATTACTGCTAAATCTCAGAATTCAGAGGGAAAGTGACCACACACAAAATAAAAAAAAAATCTTGGAACTATTCTGCTAGTAACAAAACACACAGTTGACAACTTCATTTAACTTGAACATCTAATTATACAGACTATGTACGTTTAAACCCAACTCTGCAAGGGTAAGAATTACATATGCAGAATGGTTATCGTCTCTGGGAAGATCAAATTTTTTGCAATGGCTAACACATGCCTTGAAGAATTGAGACACTTATGCAACACATGGGAATCTTTATTGAAGAAACGTTTCGCCACACAGTGGCTTCATCAGTCCAATACAAAGTAGAAATGGGTAAGGAGAGTAGAAGTTTTGAGGTAATCAGTCCCTCAACCTGGAATCGATGTGTTCAGTCCATCACTCTTGTAGGAAGTGCAGCACAGGGCCAGAGAGGTAGCTTATATACTGCGGTGAGATGAGTCCAAGCAGGAGGAGGCGGGATCACAGTGGGACCTGCCGCTAGTGTAAGTAGGTCGTCGTCCAGAGGTTGGGCAAGCGTTGAAGTCTTTGTACCAAGATCCCATGATGTTGCAGTGTCTGACAGATGTGATGAATGGTTTTGAAAACCGACAAGTTGAAGAATTGAGACACTTATGCAACACATGGGAATCTTTATTGAAGAAACGTTTCGCTACACAGTGGCTTCATCAGTCCAATACAAAGTAGAAATGGGTAAGGAGAGTAGAAGTTTTGAGGTAATCAGTCCCTCAACCTGGAATCGATGTGTTCAGTCCATCACTCTTGTAAGAAGTGCAGCACAGGGCCAGAGAGGTAGCTTATATACTGCGGTGAGATGAGTTGAAGCAGGAGGAGGTGGGATCACAGTGGCACCTGCCACTAGTGTGAGTAGGTCGTCGTCCAGATGTTGGGCAAGCGTTGAAGTCTTTGTACCAAGATCCCATGATGTTGCAGTGTCTGACAGATGTGATGAATAGTTTTGAAAACCATTGAGGGACTGATTACCTCAAAACTTCTACTCTCCTTACCCATTTCTACTTTGTATTGGACTGATGAAGCCACTGTGTGGCGAAACGTTTCTTCAATAAAGATTCCCATGTGTTGCATAAGTGTCTCAATTCATCAACTTGTCGGTTTTCAAAACCATTCATCACATCTGTCAGACACTGCAACATCATGGGATCTTGGTACAAAGACTTCAACGCTTGCCCAACCTCTGGACGACGACCTACTTACAAAGTGGCAGGTCCCACTGTGATCCCGCCTCCTCCTGCTTGGACTCATCTCACCGCAGTATATAAGCTACCTCTCTGGCCCTGTGCTGCACTTCCTACAAGAGTGATGGACTGAACACATCGATTCCAGGTTGAGGGACTGATTACCTCAAAACTTCTACTCTCCTTACCCATTTCTACTTTGTATTGGACTGATGAAGGCACTGTGTGGCGAAACGTTTCTTCAATAAAGATTCCCATGTGTTGCATAGTGTCTCAATTCTTCAACTTGTCGGTTTTCAAAACCATTCATCACATAACACATGCCTTGACTGAGGGAGATCTGAAGATCTGAACGAGTATCTACAAAAGATACTTGGTGGGTTTCTCATTACTTGTCGAGTACACAAAGAATAACGACATTCAGGTTGATCATTTGACTGCGTGTTAGAGGTAGAGGGTACAGAGTCGAGAGGATTGTCAGTGTCTGTCACATTAGTCTGGGTAGAAATATCATCCTCTACATTACATACTAACCTCATATGATCTAAATGCGATTCCTTATACTGACTAGTACTAATTTCTCTAACTTGATGCTTATTACCATTGATACGTTCAACTACTTGACAAGGACCAACAAACTTTTGATCGAGCTTAGGCATTGTGCATGTGTTGTTGAAGTTAGTCAGCATTACTCTCGAACCCACTTTAATTTTGGTCTGCTTAGCATGGCTATTAGTTACTCTTGTAAATTCTGCTGTTGACTTACGAAGTGTCTCACGGATTCTTCTAAAAACACTTTGAGCTAAGCTGGTACGAGTTGCTATGAAATCAACAGGGTTGTAATTGGGCTTCGGTGCAGAATATAACAACTCATAAAGCAAACACTTGTCTACACCATACAATGCATAATGTGGAGTGTCACCTACCGAAGCATTGTAAGCAGAATTTATGGCACATTGAACATCAGGTATAACTTCATCCCAGGTTTCAATGTTGGGATTGATAGTGGCTCTCAAGACATCAAGTACTTTCTTATTGGTTCGTTCGGCTAACCCAGTGCTGGCAGGATGATAAGGAACAATGGTGGATTTAGAGATCTTGTACAAGGTACACAAATTTTCAAGAATCTCATTACAGAATTCACCTCCTTTATCTGTTACCAGTGACTTAGGGGTGGTATGCCTACAGATTATACTCTCCTTGGAAGCTTTAGTTTGTGGAAAATTAAAATTACCTGTATGAATCTCATTAGATACATACCAGTAATTTATTAAAAGTAACAAAGATAATTTTTCTTTATCATGGCTACAGAGACATGTAGGAATTTTAGGACATCCTAGGTGGCAAAAATGTCCCCCTTCGATACCTACTCCACTCATATCTCCACAAGTCACTCTGGACATATATTAATTTCAACCGAAATATACATCATCAGGGATCCTGGTAAAACATTAACAAAAATATGTGGACTGTATGTTAAATTTAATAAATGACTAAATATACACATTTATATAGCAGAAGGAGAATTTATAATAATAACACTCACCAATTTGTCTGGAGATTACTTGGTGTGTCATACACAAACCCCTACCTAAAAAAATGAAGAAAAATACTGGGCCAGAATTTCAACAAACAGA